CCCCAAAACCCCAAAACCCCAAAACCCCAAAACCCCTCAGTGGTACATAAAGACTGAGATAAAAATTATTTCCACAAGTTATCACTTACATTCTTATAATAAAGACTATGAGTTCTGTTCAAATCCACTCTCTTTGCGGGACAAAGAGAAAAGCAAATTCCAATTGGGCCAATCTTACCTTAGGTACCTATATTTTAGTTAATTTTTAAGGGGAAATTGAGTCCCAAGACAAAATCCGTGACCATGAAGTTCAAATACTGAGAGAACAAGTTGAGAAATTAAAAAATGAAAATTTCATGCTCAGGAAGAGATCTGAGTATTATAAGCAGATGGTAAGTTCACCACTTCACTCAATTCTCATTAGGAGTAGAATCTTTGGTTATTTTCGGTACTGACTTGGTTTTAGGCAATAAACGCAAAATATGAGTCGGCTAAGAAAAATGATGAGTACGAGTTGTTCCGAAAAGCAAGCCAAAAGCTTGCAAATTACAAAAGATTTGAGATCGAAGATCAGAGACATTTGCTGGTGAATATGTGTAAAGTAAGCTCTTAAAATTTATCCTCCGCGGTTAGTACATGAATCTGGCTACATTGCTTGTTCTATTGCCCTATAAATTCAAAAAATCACAAAAAAATTGTCATTTAGATTCATGATTTTAGAATGTAATTTAGATTCTTGAAGATTGGGTATCCGAACTAGTTCTGAATTTATTGAATATTTATCCAATCAATAAAGCCCTTATCATAACCCTATAGTGAATCATGAGCGAGAGGTTCTCATTAAGAAGTATGACATTCAATATGATCTCAACCTTATTAAGAGGAAATCTTTCTCAAGAAAATAGTCAAAGTTGCCATGGATCTCACAAGCCTGGCTCCTTTATTTATTTTAAAGATAAAGAGATCCAGATTTCAGAAAAGGAGAAGCAACTTCTCAAGCATTTCGAAAGTAACCAACTCCTCCTTGGCATGCTAACCGGCCAAATTGATTCATGGTTGAAAGACATGAACACAAACACAACTATAAACCATGCTCCAAAACACGGTGGGAGCATGAAATACGACCAACAAAGAGAGTTTCAGGATTCTCATTTAGATGAAAACGCCTGAGTCTCCAAGCATCCAAGAATCCCTGTTCCGAAATTCGAATAATCGTTAACCTTATATTTTATAAAAAATTTCTTGATTCATGATTACTTCAATGAATCGAAGTAGTTCAGGGGTTTTGGGGTTTTGGGGTTTTGGGGTTTTGGGGTTTTGGGG